TCCCGTTTCCAGTTCCCGTCGACCGCCGACCGTTCCCGTGTCCCGCCGATCCGGAGGATCAGGACGTCGCGATGGCGGACGAGCAGGAGGCGAACAACACGTGCGAGGACTCCCTCGGCCCCGGGGACGCGAACACCGCGTTCGCCAAGAAGATCCGGGGCCGTAAGGGCGCGCTCAAGAAGAAGAATGTCTACGTCGTCAAGAACCACAACTTCATGCCGCGGTTCTTCAAGCAGCCGACCTTCTGCAGCCACTGCAAGGACTTCATCTGGTGAGCGACCGTCCCTTGTAGACCGTTGATCCTTTAGGCACCCCTCCTCCCCCCCGGCACGGGGCGAACCCATTAGCAGGCGTGCTGTCCCCGCAGCCAGCGGATAGAGGATGAGACCATCCGCGCCGTTTAGAGCGGATCGCCGCGGAGCGCACCCCGGGGGCACCGATGGAAAGACGTTCGCCCGACAGGCCTGACATTGCGCCGCGCTAGAGTGATTCATCGACGCGCGAGAGCGTTTTTATTATTATCTAGACGCGGCCAGGGTATATAGCACGCCCCGCAACTGTTGATCGACGACGAATCTCTCGGCGGCACGGGACCAAGGTGTTTGACCATCCTCTGCCGAGCGAGGGAGCGCCAGTCGATGACAGTCAGACTCTTTTACCCTTCGCGATGAAATATTATGTATTAGTTAACAGTAGAACTACCGAGCATTTCATATGTCATAAAAATTGTAATAGTTTCTAGTTTTAGAGGTCCATTATAGTATTCAAATGAAACTTTTCTCAAGATCATTTCAAATATTCGATGCTCTTAACACTTAGCCAACCAAATGGGGAGATCTCCTAGTTTTCATTTAGCAACGTACTGCCTTTTATTCTGTATATCTTTTGTTATTTAGCAAGTCTTGAGTTTAGTTTCTTTTTTACAAAACAGTTTCTCACCGAATTCTCTAAACGAGTTCAATCTAAGATAATGGAGGAGATAGTTATAGTTTTCATGTGGTCGTCTAAGCCTTAAGATACTAATAATCAAATCGATTTCACTGGTAGTTCTACTGTCAACCAAGACAAAAGGCAGGCTCTGATTATCAAAATCTGTCTCAGTCTTCCAACAAACATCTCGTCTCGCAACGCTCCTCAAGGGGTCAAACCGTATTATCCTCGTCCGTTCGTTCGTTTATTTTTAAACACTGTAAGTTTGACTTCCCGACGCGTGTCTCTCGAATCCCGTAATCCGAAAATCAATGGTAGCTCTACGGAGAGCAACGCGACATGGTAATAGCGTGACTCGAAGGAACAGGACGCCCCGGCGTGTCGGGTTGCGATACCGAATGTTTTGATACGCCGTCGTGGAGCTGCGTGTGCCGCGACGTGTTCGCTGGCCTAGGCGGAATGCGTGTCCCGCGGAGGAGGCCTGGAAAAGAAAAGCCGAAGGACGGTCCGATTCGGAATACGGGGAGAAAGCGGCGCAGGTCAGGTTTTCCTCGCGTGTTCCCGGAATTTATGGCTCCCGGTGATTTCCTCGCGTGCGTTCTCTCTCTTTCTCTTTTTCTTTGGTCTCGGCTCGCTGGGAGATCAGGCGGAATCGATGGCCAGGCCGAGGAATGCGGCTCCGATCGATCAGTTTTCATCTTTCCCCGTTTCCCTTGCGATGCCGATTCGCCGTTCGGCGATCGATCAACGAGAGTTTCGCTGAAAGAACACCCCTAAGCGCTGGCAGAAGTTGTAATTCGAAGGGACGATTGTTGTCTGTGAACGATGGTTGTACTAACGCTTTGCGGTCCGAGCTGCTGTTGGTTTCTCTGTTTGAGGTTCAAGTTGATGTTGATTCGATTATAGATTAATAGGATGTCTTGTTTATTTGTGAAAGAATATGTGGAAGTCGTTGGAATGTTACCTGTAAATGGTACAGTTGGGATACTAAATAGATAGAGAAAGAATTGGTAGAACAGGTAGAGGTTGGAATGAAATAGAATAGAGTCTGAGTCGATATAGGACATGGGTGAACCCTTTGCTCGGAAGCTTTTCGCTGGGAATATTCAGTGTTCTCTAATGAGATACAGACGATGTTCTTTGAAACTGATTAATGAGGGAACATGTATTAGTTTAGGAGAGTTATTTTATTTCGATATTCCTTATATTGATGTATTATGCGAAGCTTAATATTGTATATGAGACTTCATAATTTTGCGAATTAAATTAAGTGACTGAGAGTCACCTCTCTAGTGCAAAGGGTTAATCCTAATCGGACCACGATTTTTTGTGTGTTACTGTTCCTGTGTTTCTATATTCACGTGTTGATATCTAACACAAAATTGAATATTGAATTCTAATCTTCAACATTCTAATGAATTTAATGAAACGAATGAGAGTCGCTTCTCGACTACAAAGGAAAATCTTACATAACTTAAGAGTTGGAGGTAATTTATTTCTAAGATTCACGCGTTGATACCCAACACAAAATTGAATATTGAATTTTAATCTTCTTCATTCTAGTGGATTTAATCAAATGAATGAGAGTCGCCTCTCGTTTTCTTTGTTAGATTTTTTGGAAAATGTTAACACGTTGATATCTAACACAAAATTGAATATTGAATTCTAATCTTCATCATTCTAAATTTAATCAAGTGAATGAGTCGCTTCTCGAGTACAAAGGAAAATCTTACATAACTTAAGAGTTGAGGTAATTTATTTCTAAGATTCACGTGTTGATACCTAACAAAATTGAATAAATTGAAGAAAATTGAAACGTAAATTTCTTGATTATTTCATATTGTATTTCCAAAAGTTTTTTCGAGCTTTTAACATTTGGTACTATAAACAACAATAACATTTTAATCATTCCTGTTTTTCTCAGTGGCTGACAGTCACATCGTGATATGTTTTGTTATAAAAGCACGTGGTACGATTATGGTTAATTATCCGTAATTCACGGATAACAATCGGCTATTCATGATATTCGTTCGTTCTTAACAAACATTTTATGAATCAGATTTGCCGAACAATGGCAGCGCGAGAAATGCAAATGACATTGTCTCGCTATCAATCTCATTTGCGAATGCGAATCAGAAACGAATAGCGAATGACGAGTAAAGGTTTCACGCGTGAATAGAGAATAGCGCGATGAACGGGATGGGTTTAATTGGAACGTGTAACCGAATAACGATTCAGTTATTACGATCATGATGTTAAGTTAAGCATGAATTCATTCGTGATCGTTATCGAGATTGAGTTCCATTTGAATAATGGGAAAAATTGTTCTATGTTCATTGGACTTTATAGGACTGCCAATTGAAGAATAGTTTAAAAATATTGTAATAGTACAACAGTCATCTAGGAAAGAATAAGATTTTGTAATTTTACTTTGGATGTCTGTTATAATATCTAAAATGTTAGATTAGTGTAGGACTATAATTTGAAGAATAGACTAAAAATCTTGTAACAATTCAATAGTTACTGAAAAGAATAAGGAATTCTATTTTGTAATTTTACTGTGGATGTCTGTTATAATATCTAAAATGTTGCATTAGTGTAGGACTATCATTTGAAGAATAGACTAAAAATCTTGTAATAATTCAACAGTCTTGAAGAATAGACTAAAAATCTTGTAATAATTCAACAGTCTTGAAGAATAGACTAAAAATCATGTAACAATTCAACAGTCTTGAAGAATAGACTAAAAATTTTGTAACAATTCAACAGTTATCAAGGAAAGAATAAGATTTTGTAATTTTACTATGGATGTCAGTTACAATATATAAAATGTTACATTGCTGTAGAACTACCAATTGAAGAATAGACTAAAAATCTTGTAACAATTCAACAGTCTTGAAGAATAGACTAAAAATCCTGTAACAATTCAACGGTCATCGTGGAAACAATAAGATTTTGTAACATTACTGTTGATGTCTCTTATAATATCTAAATTGCCGTAGAACTACCAATCAAAAAATACTAAAAATCTTGTAACAATCCAACAGTTATCAAGAAAAGAACGCGACAGAAATTCACAGTGCAAAGTTATGAATCGGGACGTTTGTCCAGCCGGATCGCCGAAGGAAACCACTGCGCTGGACATGAAACGATCCGCCGACGACGGATCCAGGGGACAGCGCCGGGCCGACACGTCGCGACAGAGGCGGCTCGAGCAACGGTTAAACGGTCCGGCCTTGGGAATACTCGCGCCTCGTCCGAATTAGAAACGATCGAGCCGAAAGCGAGAGGTCGATCCGAGCGTGCGGGGTTTACGAGTCCCGTTCAGCGGCTCGCCGATCGTTGATCGGATTCCAGGTCGGACGCTGAGGTCCTCGGCTGTCCTGTCGTGTCGTGTCCTCGGCCTCTGACGGGACGCGTCGACGTACGTTGCGTCAGATTCGTGGACCACTCTGTGGTCGATCGCGTTGGGAACTTGGAATCGCGACGAAACGATTTTCAATCTTTAACGCTAGAACTACCGAGCATTTAATACGATTCATATGCAATCCCTATAAAAATTATAATGATTGATTACTATCAATTTCTTCAGACATTCATTATAGTGTTCAAGTGAAACTATTTTCAAGATCATTTCGAATATTCAATGCTTTCAAGATATCAGTAATTACGAAATAAAAACTTATTCTGTTTAACTCTTTGGCTCCAGATGGTTTTGTTCTATTAGCAACTGCAACTAGTTTTTATAGTATCTCTGGAGAAAATGAGAAATGCTAACATTTCTTAGATCTTTTATTTTTCTTCTCAGTGCAGAATTTGGATAAAAAATCTAATAATTGTAGGGTAGTTTTCTTAAAATTCATTCAAATATCTAATATTATTCCTAGTGCAATATTGGAGCTTACAGAGTTCAAAGGGTTAACTTTTTGCACTCAGAAGTACTTTGCTAGAAATATTTAACTTGTTTAACTGGTTGTAGTTTTACTGGTTGAAAATTGCTATGTAATTCTCAACTGAATCTGAGAAATCCAAGTGATATTTATTCTCTTCAACGCTTCGCACTCGGAAGTACTTAAGAAACATTTAACATTTAACTAGAGAGACGATGCTTTTTGGAATGAACTCAAAGAATCAGAAGTGAATTGAGGAGGGTTTCTTATTCTAATGTTTCGTACACCGATGCATTGTACACGGTTCAGTATTGAATATCATATTTTATAGTTTTACTGCATGAAATGAAGTGGTGGAGAGTCTTGACTGAGAACTTGAGTGCAAACGGTTAAATATAAATTGAATATCACTTCTCTATTGTCAGTCGTTAATCTGTTGGAATAAACGTGA